GTGTGCTTTTGATAATCTTTGAAAAGCAGCTTACTCTAGAGCATTTTTATCAGAAGTTTCTGGTTGGAAACAAGGAATTGATGAATGACCAGTTCAGGTTTTACTGAATGTGACCAATTGTGTGATAGATTGTAAATTTTTGGCTTTATAGTCTTGAAATAAAAATTCTAGACTACGTATGACTGTTTGATTATGCCTTTGCTTTTCTTTTGGTAACTGGACAGACTTGTGTTTTACAATGTGTTGTATTAGTAACTTTGCAGTGAGCAACAGAGAGTTGATTGATCTCATTGTAGCATACTATATTATAGAATAGCATTAAGAAAGTTGGAAAATTATTTTAGAAATAATTTATTCCAATTCTTCCTACTTAACAGATAAACAAACATGCTCCAACTAGTTAACTTATATGTTTCGCTTATACGTATTGGAGAATAACATTCTTCATAATTTCACTTATTCAATTTTAAGACCAGGCTCTGCACAGTTTTTAACTGTCTTATTTTGATGTTAAGTAGCTCTGTCTGTCTTTGATGAATAATGAAATTCCTTTCTCACTTCTCAAATTTATTTGGTATTCAAATCCTGCCCATTCTATTTCTTCCTTTATTCTGTCCTTATTAATTCAGCAAACATTTGAGATACATATACTCAGTATTGAGTAAAACATCACCTTCTCTAATTGAAGTTTTTGTCAGACTTTGAAATCTTTCTGTATCTATCTTTCCTCATCTTCATGAGAGCCATAGTGCTAGGGAGTACTGTTGCTGCTTTCTTAATGTATTCTGTGTTTGAGGAAGACAGGCAATTAACAGTAAGTGTAAAATATTTGTTAGTGATAGGTGCTCTGAAGAAAAATACAAAGTGATTAATGGCTAGTTGTATTGTTAGGGTTTTCTAGAGGAGTAGAACTAATGGAAAATTTATATGTAATGCAAATATAAAAAGATGTACATATATACACAAACATATATAAAAGGCACATGTATGAATATATATGTATATAAATGTTAGAATTATAAGATCCAAGGTGGGAGAGTCCACAGTGGCTGTCTGGATGCTGAAGAGGCACAGCATCCAGTGGCTGCTTAGCTGGAGAATCTGCAAGCCTTAGAACAAGAGGGCTTTAAGGATGCAGTGCTAGTCTGAGTGAAGGCCTGGAAGCCTATTCACGTTCACTGGTGTGTGTGTGTGTGTGTGTGTGTGTGTGTGTGTGTGTGTGTTGAAGACTAAGAAGGTGGAGTTTGATGTCCAGAGGTGATGGCAGGAGCAAAAGTCCTATCTAATCAAGCAGAATGGAGCTTTTCAAATGCAGGCAAACTTCCTCCTCCTCCTCTTCATTTGAACCTGCCTACAAGCCTATTGGATGATGGCGGATCCCCATCCAATCACCACCCACAGAAGTGTGCCAGCCACTGTGCTAGTCATCACCAGATATACCCCACAGGCACAGCCAGAAGTGTGTTTTATTCATCTGCTAGGCATTTCTCAACCTTGTCAGATTGACAGGATGAACTGTCATGTAGTGATGAGTGTGGATCTCTTCAGGTAAGAGTAGTCAGGGACTGTCTTTTCTTTTGGCTTCATACTTGGGAAATGAGCATGCAGTGCCTGGGAGAGTAGAACACAAAACCCAACTGACAGCAAGTGCAGTAGTCTTGGGACAGGGATAAGCTTATAATGAATGAAGAGAGCCAATGACAGTAGATGCAGGGAATTAGGAAGACAGTGATGTAGTTCTGGGGTCATGGCAAAGATTTTTTTCTTAACATCTATTAATTGTATTAACATATTCACATGGTATAATATTTTAAAGGAGCTCAGTGTGATATTTCAGTTCATGCCTACAGTGTGCACTGATCAAATCTGGCTGCCTTTAAATCCCCCCTTCACTTTCTTAATTTTGGGAAATTTGGGCAGATATGTGATATTTCACTATTCAGCAGATACTTATTGACCACCCACTGTGCCAGGTACTTTGCTGTATTTTAGGTGCTATGGACACAGTGACTAATTCCTGGTATCTTAGAGATTACATTTCACACTCTTTTTGATTATGCTTAAATTTTGAAAGGCATATCCTGACTGCTTTATGGGAGAGAGAAAGTGTGGCATTTCATTGACAAGAGTTACTTTAGTAGTCCTGGTGAGAAATGCTCCTGGTCTGGGTGAGAGGAGTCACAGTGAAACTGTTGTTGCAAAGTGCACAGATAGTGTTTGTTAAGAGTTTGGAACAGTGCCTTTCAGAGTTTGTTAAGGAGTTGAAGATGAAGATCAAGTCAACAAGGTTCTCTGAAGGATTGATTGTGGCTAATGAGGGGAAAAAGGAGAGAAATTAAAAGTGATTTCAAGATATCTTACACAACTGGAAGAGTGGTAATGGAAAACCAAGAGTTTAACATTAAACCTTCAGATTCCTTTTCAATATCCATGTAACAGATAGCAAGCAATTAGATGAATGAATCTGTCCATCACCCATGACAGGGTTTGGAAATATCTATACTAAAGAGTTACATAGAGGTAGTATTTAAGGTGATAGACTCATGATTCATTAGAGAAGAGATTGGATCTCCCGGGGACTGTACTGTAGAAATTAGGGCAATGAAGATGAGGCAGCAGTATATACTGAAAAGTGATACAGTAGAAAGGGAACCAATTTCGAATCCAAGCAAAGAAAATATTTGGTATGATGATTGCAGCAATAGAGATAGAATTTTTGGATCTTTACAGATTTTGTTACAAAACTAGAGTAACTATGATAAAGGAAAACTGCAGATATCTTCAGCAAAACTTAGATGACTATATAAATTTTATAGTACAAACTGGCAGGGCTAATAGCAGTAAGATATACATACATGTGTATCATGGTTGCCCTTGAGTGTGTTTGTCGGGGGATAGTCCTGTGATCATGAGAGCTTAGGGGCACAGGTACTGCCACCACAAAAGGACCCGTTAGTAATCAATTTGGAGGATTAGAAGAATGAGCTGAGAATAGTAGGAAAAACTAACAAAGTGATCTGAGCCCACATTCCTCTTGGAAATACCCAGAGAAAGCACCCTTCCTAAAGCATAAAGGTGTGTCATGAAGAGAACTCGTAGTAACAGGACATTGAAGGAAAGAGAATTTTCACATATGGTAGTTTATTGTTAGAATATGGAAGCAATTGATTTTTGTATATTAATTTTATATCTTGTAATTTTACTGAATTTGTTTACTACTTGTAACAGTTTTTTGGGGAGTCTTTAGAGTTTCTGTACATAAGGTCATGTCATCTGCAAGCAGAGACAGGTTTACTTCATCATTTCTGATTTGAATGTCTGTCATTGATTTTTCTTGCCTAACTGCTCTGACTAGGACTGATAGTAAGAAGCATGACAGTAGTCCAGGGTGACAGTTCGTAGTGATATCCTCATGGGTTTGCTTCAGTGTAGTATTGGATAGTGGATGATTTTTCTTTACAAGGTGGAGTTAACAGCTATGTGATCTAGTTATAACTAGGCCATTTCTTACAAAGATGAAAAAATGGCTCAAAAAATGGCTACCGTGAACCATAGGTTGGTGGTCCTACCAACAAAAATCTGTTTTTATAACAGATGCTTGAGGTGTTTTCTTTATGCCTAGGCTGTTTTGAGAAATAGTAATTAAGCTATAGTAAGACAGAACCTGTTGAATCAGCAATGCATAATGAATGAGAGAAAGAGCAAGTGGAAGTAGTAAATGGTCAAGAACTACTGGAATATAGTATATTTGAGTATAATTTTCCCTCAGTGTCCATGGAGTGATGGTGCTGTCATTCTTTTTAGTCATTTGGGGTCCCAGGCTGTCATAGATTTTGCCATTTGTGGTACGTGACTCTAAGGTTAACTTGGGCATTGTTATTCAGCAGGCTAATGACTGAGAAAAGGGGTATGTTGGAGGTTGCATGAAAGGCTTTTGTGGTTCTTCACTCCTACCAACCTGACATCCCACTTGATGGCAGTTGTTCTTATGTGCTCCTGTAGTTAATTTGCTAATTTTGTTTATAATTTTAATTCCTATATGGATAAAAGAGGTTTATTCCTAATTTTATTTCTTTTTAAATAACTGCAAATTTTAGTGATATATATATATATTATCCTAATTTTCCCTAATAAAATATACAGTGAAGTATTTTCTGTTTTTCTGTTCTGTGGGTTACTTTTTTCTTAAATATGGGTTAAAATTTATCTGAGTCATCTAGGTCTCAAGATTCTTTGTCAGAAGTCTTTGTATGTGTATTAGCTTTTTTGTTGTTTTTGTTAAACAGATTCAATTCCTTTAATCCATATAGGACTATTAAGATTTTATAATTATTCTTCTTTCAGTTTCAGTAATTTATGTTTGTTTTGTAGTTTATTTTTAAAATTTCATCTCCATTTCTTTTGTTTTTTTAAAATGGTTTGATAACTATTATCTGAATCATCCATATATCTATTTTGTCTTCTCTGCTTTCCATTTTCCTTTGTTCATTTGTCTGTTATCTCTAATAATTTTGTATTGAAAGCTGAGTTGAAATAACTAGGGCTCTGCAGGATGTTAACATCCTCCAAAGAGAGTTCATCCTTTCCAGTCCTAGATGGGTAGAATTGGGAGTTAATCACATTCATCTAGTATAGCTGGATAAATAATAAAAACTATAGAGATGTGGGGTTGTTGCAGTACCATGAGGCTTCCTGTCTCTTGATCCAGGTCAGGACCATCCAGATACCACAAGGAAAAGTACCATTGCTTGTGTGACAGTATTTCACCTCTCAGTGTGGTTTTCCTTTCTTAGTAGTTCTTTCTCTTTAATGCCTCGTTGCTTCAGTACTTCCCAATGCTTTTAAACAGAACTTCTTTTTAAATAACTTTTTTCTTTGTTTTCATCTGCTGCATTAGTGTGCTACGAACTATTATTTATGGAAGCAACAGTTACGGGTCTTATTATTTTAATCACAAAACAAGAACAGATCATGGATTTAGTTCTTTTTTTTTATTCCAGGAAAAACATAAACAAGAATTGGAGGACATGAGGAAAATGGGCCACGAAGCACTTGGTATCATTGTGGATGAATATAAGGTAGAGGTTTGCGAGCCTGTTTATTCCTTTAAACCTTGGAAAAATTCAGTAAAGAATGTACACATAGGCATGTGCAGACATATACAGATTACAGATTTGTAACTTATCCTTATTTTGGTATGGAATTCTGTTTAGTTGATCAATAAATGTTCATTGAAAGTATAGGTAGTAGAGTAGGAAGTAATGCTAGATACTACTCTGTATTCAGAGACTTTGAGAATATCATCTCAGTAGATGAAGGTATTTAAATACAGAATACAATAGAATTAATTGATATATCATCATTTTTGTCTCTGATATGGTTCTCTCTGTGATACAGGAAAAAAATTAAGGTGTGATAAAAATCTGAAAAAGCACTACATATTTTTTATGTAAAATAAATAGATCTGAGTACTTTTCAGCAATGAAAGAAGTTATGATGTTAATATCAGTGACATAATAAAATTGATTTTTATAATTATTTTAAATATTATTCTTTCAATTCTATGTCCACATAAACTTAGTCATTTAAAACAAATTATAGATTAATTTTAAATCCTTTTCCTTATCCTAAATTTCATGTCAGATCATTGTTTTTCTGTAAGTAAAGAGAAAGTACATTCTTGTTGAAATCAAAATTAAACAATTCTCTCTAGAAATAATCACTATTGGAAGTTTGGTGTGTTTGTCTAGGATTTCTTCATGTTTGCATAAATATATCATGCTCATATCATGTTAATTTTGACTTTTATAAGAAAATCTTATCTTACATAATTTATTCTTTCTTGCTATATTTATTCTGTATAATTTGTAGATATTTTCATGTCAGTATATTTGAGCTTATCCTGTTTTTGTTACTGTTCTGTAGTATGTCACATTATGACGTGTTACATTATGACAATATGTCACTTAAATGTTTTTAGGTTTTTTCATTGTGTGCGTGCTTGTGTGTTTTTCAGAGCATTGTTTGATGCTCTAATTCCATTTGGTTCTAGGTCCACAATGTTTCTTTGCAGCAAATATGTTTGTTTATATCACTTTCAAGGGGAGACTCATGAAATTAAATCACTTATGAAAACTTTTCTGAGATTATTTATAAGTAGCATTTTGAAGAAACTTGATTGAGAACTACTCATTTTTTCTGCTTGCCAAGTATTGTTATTCATCATTCAAAAAGAGAAGGTTTAAATGTCAGAGGCATTATGCATCATGATTTCCTAAAAAGGATTAGGAATACAATCCAGTTGCCTACAAAACTGTATTTGTCATATTATAGCTAATAGTATATATTCAGACAGTTTATATTTATTTGTATCACTGAATTTTTGTGTGAATGCATTTCATACAGCTTTTCATACTGATTTACTGAAAAGTTAAGTAAATCACACACATCTAGGACAAAGATTCTCTAACGATACTTTCAGGGTTATCATGTAAGTTTCTGTCTTTAAGATGTTCTAAAAACATGAGATCAGCCCTTATAATAATATGAAAAACTCTAAAATTTCAAATAGAACTAGGCAGTGTTTTCCTGGTCCTTAGATGTCTTTTTAGTAAATGCTGGATGGTTGTAACCGAATGTGAAATTAGGAAACTTTTTTTTTAAACATAGAACTTCATGCAATAATTTGTAAATAATAGAGAATAGTAAACTGGAAACAAGTGAACAGGGATTTAGGACCTGTGAAATTACAACAAAAATTTAAAGAAAAATTCCCATGAGATTCCTGGAAAGAGAGGAAAAAGATAGTACCTGGAAATTCCCTAAATTTACATAGTCAAGAAGTCAGGCAAACTTCAAATATGATAAATGAAAACAAAAAGAACAACTCCCTTTCTCTTTCAAAAAGAAAAGAAAAGAAAACATGCCAAGGCACACTGTGGTGGGTAATTTTATGTCAACTTGACTGCATTAGGTTGCCAAGATATTTAGTCACTTTCTGGGATGTTTCTGTGAGGATGTTCCCCTACTCTCCCACAAGATTATATTTAAAACTGGACTCCTGAGTAAAGCAAAGTGCCTTCCATAATATGGAAGGCCTTAAATGGGACAAAGATTGGCTGTCTCCAAGCAAGAAGGAATTTCCAACAGATTGCCTTCAACTGCAGCCTCAGCTCCTCTTTGGGTCTATATAGTAGTAACATTCTTTAACTATAGCATCTCCTCTTCCCAGGGTCTGTATGCTGCTGGCCTTCCCTGTAGATTTTGATATTGAGACTCCATAATTGCATAAACCAATTTCTTGAAACAAATCTGTCTATATCTGTATATTGTATATCCTGTTGAATCTCTTTCAATACCTTGGCTAATATAGCCAAATTTCCCAAAATTAAATAAAAATTTAAAATCCTGAAAGCAGCCAGAGAACATTTTACCTAAAGAAGAAAAAACAATTAATATGATGGCAGTATTTCCATCTGAAACCATGGAGACCAGAGGAAGTGAGCTTACTATGATGGTAGTTTCTTAATGAAAAATCAGCCTAGAATTTCTTATCCAGGGAAATAAGTGGTGGTAGTGGTGGTGCTGATGAATAAAGGTGCTCCCAGATGAAGGAAAACAAAGAGTTGATTATAGTATATCCAGCCTGAAAGAGTATTTCAAGAAATATTTCCAAATAAAAAGGAAATGTAGGGAAGAAAACCTGAAACATCAGGAAAGAAAAGGGGAAAAAAACACAAACATGGGTAAATACAATATACTTTCCTTTGCCTTTTGAGTTTTCTAAATTGTGTGTGACTGTTGAAGCAGTCTCTGTATAATAGAAAATGGTCTCTATATAATAGGTTTCTATGTAATGTGTCTAACAGAAAATTTATGAAAATTATAGTGTAGAAAAGGGATGATAAAGAACATGAAAGGAAGCAGGGATTCTAGAGTTTACTTGAATTGGCTAAATACTGATAATAATGCTGTGATTTTTTCTTATTAATTTTTGAAATTACTCCTTTTTCTACAACCTTTTCCATAATAAGGCTTAATGCTCTATTAAACAGTTTGAATAGAGGCCTCTAAGCTATAAAGTCATTTGGAGCCAGGCTGTGTTTATATGTATGCATTTGTGAAATGATAATACATTCAAAGTTTAGTAGAAAATGCTTTCTCTATTTATTACTGTGCTCATTACCAAGTTTAATCATAAATTTTGATTTTTAGTAGGGCAGTGATACTATGTTAATATTTGAAATTTACTTGAAGTTTATATCCAGTAGTTTTTCATACATTCATAAAATTGTGCAACCATCATGGTGGTCTTGATTTTAGAACATTTTTATGAAAACCTGTGCCTGTTAGCAATCATTCTGCAATGCCAGTTTCTTCCATTTACACCCTGGTAGTCTATGGAACTAGTGACCCATATTGTGTTTCTGTAGATTTAAGTCTTTTGGATATATCCTATAGAATCATGTAATTTATGGTCTGTTACTGACTTCTTTGTGCCGGCATAATTTTTTGAATGTCATCAGTTTTTAAATTTGTATTAGTACTTCACTCCTTTTTAATTGTCAAAGTATTCCTATATATACACTGTATATATACACTATACATATATACACTATATAAAAATATTCATATATATATTATATTTTATTTGTCTGTGCACCAACTGATAGAATCTGAGTTCCTTCCACTTGTTGGGTGTTAAGAATTAACGGTACATGGATACGTTTGTATTTCTCCCATGTGTATACCTAGGGTTGAAATTACTGAGTCATATGGTTGTTCTATCTTTAATGTTTTATGGAACTACTGAAATGTTTTCAGCTACACCATTTTAAAACAACAGCAATTGTTTTAGCTTCTCTGTTGCCTTACTGTTATTCACTATCTTCCATTAAAAAATAAGCCAGTCTCTAGTGCATTTGAATTCACTTTTTGGTCTTTGGTTCTTTTTTAGTTAATTACTGTATATGACGTGAAGGAGGAAGGCACCTTCATCTTTTGCATAGAAGTAGAAAATTGTTCCCAACAACATTTGTTAAATAGACTGTTCTTTCCTAGGGATTTGCTTTGGCATTCTTACAAAAAAATCAGTAGAATTTATACATGAGGATTTATTTCTATACATGGTTTGATTACTATAGTTTTTTTTTGTATGTTTCAAACTCAGAAAATGTGAGTTGTATAACTGCATTTCTTTACAAAATTGTTTTGGTTATTTTATATTCTTTTCATTTCTGTATGAAATTTAGGATCTACATGTGAATTCTTTCAGAACTCCAGACTGGGATAGTTTTGATAGTTTTCTGGTTCATCCTTTTTTTTTTTTTTTTTTTGGTACTGGGGATCAAACTCAGGATTTCATGCTTGCCAGGCAGGCACTGTGCCACTGAGCTAAATACCCGGCCCTCTGGTGCGTTTTAGCAAAGTATCTTTGTATTTATTTATATCTTCATTTATTTCTTTCAACAGTGTTTTATGTATGCAATTTATTCTTAGTAGGTATTGCAGATTGAATTGTTTTTCTTGATGTTCAGATTGTTCATTGCTAGTATATAATAATAGAATTGCTTGTTACATATTGCTTTTACATACTATTAGGTCTAATACTTTATTAAGTAGATTTCTTATTCAAGGAAATTATTCTTTGTACTAGATTATGCCATTTCCAGCTGCAGATAGTTTTACTTCCTCCTTTCCAATCTGCATAGTATTTGTTTCTTTTTCTAACTTAATTATGTTATCTGGACCTCTAGTACAATTTGAATAAAAGATGCTAATGTTGCTAAAACAATTCTTTTCTGATATTAGAAGGATAACAGTCTTTGCCATTAAGTACAAGGTTGATTGTACTAGTGAGGTTTTCATTACTGGCCCTTATCAGGTTGAAGTAGTACCCTCTGATTTCCAGTTGGTTAAATTCTGTAGGATTTTTGTCAAAAGCTGTAGTCATGACTACTCAAATCATAAGTAATATAAATAATTAAAATTATTATGACTAAATGTGGTGTGTTCTAATTGACTTTTAAATGTTAAAACAATATTTGATTCCTAGGATTATCTCACTTGGTTATGGTAT